TTGCCCATTGCGACACTGTGGGAATGTGGGAAAATGTTAACGATTCCGCAAAGAATTTAAGGATGAAAAAGGCCTTTTATGTTGGTGTAAACTTGTACGTCTTCATAGAGCTGTTTTCATTTCAACTGGACTTTTTGTGTGGAGGAACTTACTAAGATCTCTGGCACATCTCTGCTTTGCTTGTTGTAACTTGGTGAAATTCATGGTTGTGCAGGAGATGGTGTTAAGTGAATAAGGAAGTGATTTCGAGATGATCTGATAAAAATCAGATCTGGTTTTTAGCTGGTCGAGCAGACTGGCTACTCTGTGAGAATTTAGAAGAGCTAACTTGGAGAAGTTAACTGGGTACACTTCTGCTTCGTGTGTTCTAAAGTAGCCTTTTTTCCATTTGAATTTTCTGTAAACCTGTAAAGTATGGTATTTTCGTTCCTAGAGATGCTGTAATATTGGTTTTGATGCAGTTTTTGATTTTCTTTGGGATGAATCTTGAAGTTGGACTCCTGAAAAATAGATGCAATAGATGAAAAAGAGGGGAGTGATTCAGGCATTGCCTGCTCACTCTGGTTCTTTGTTATAGAAATTGAAACTCTGCTTAGATTTTCTGCTGCATAAAAAAAGCCAGAAATAGGGGTTTTTTGACCTTTCCATAGCGTCATACATCGTACTTTTCATGGAGATATTTGGAAATTAGAGTTTCAATTTTAAATACATTTAACTGATGGCGTGTGAAACTGTGCAGTTTAATTTATGTAAGCAATATTCTGCCTTTTTTAATAGATTTGCACTTTTTTTTTCCCAAAATGCCTGTCACTTTATTCCCATTACAATGACCTTTATTCTCAAAATTGTCATTTGTGGTTAGGCAAAAAAGCTGAATCTGCATCCCTTCTGCTGAGAAATGTACCATTTCCTTATGCTTCACTTCAACTTCTCGCTCTTTCATTGTCTTTTTACATAGACCAGGACAGTTTGAAAAAAAACATCTACATCAGACTGGGAGAGTAGTCTTAAAGAAAACAAAAAGAAAGTTTCTTTCATCTTTCCCAGTGCTGGAAGACTCGTTGTGCCCCCTGGTATGAGAGCTGGGAATTGAGTTGTTCTTGCTTTCTCTGATCTCCGCAACACGTGTCATCTCTTTGTGTTGCGTCCCAGCTTGAGCAGGAGGGATGGAGAACAGCGGTGTCCTGCTCAAGTTCAGGCTTGTGAATAAGCTTTGGCAGTTGCCCATCATGCTGGACAGTCATGGATTCTGGTTTTTTGCTATTCCTTATTGTACCTTCTCACAGCCTTTGGTCTTACACTGTGATCTGTGATGGACCATCCAGGTTTTTCTGTGTGTATGCAGTGACTACCATGCTACTAGTAAGGAATGAGTTGGCTTCGTTTGGGAACGAGTCACTCGGTGACCTTAAAGTGTCTGAAAGGAGTGTGGAGGAGACAGTTCCAAGAATAGTTTTAAGGAAAGAAAAAACCAACCAAACAGCTGTTTTAAAATAGCAGGCTTGAGCTATTTGGGGCTTATATCTCCTTAAGGAATCAAGTTTTAATTCATGAGCTTTGCAATCAAGGTAACCTTATTTTTCTGCCTCCTGCGAAGAAACTAAGCACCACCCAGGCCAGACTCTTTAGTTAAATTAATATTTTATTACTATCCATACATGTGAAAAAAGACACAAGAATGAAAATATTCTCAGCCTTCAAGTAGTTAACTGTGTTGTACCAAAATTTAACTTTGTATGATGTGTGAAAGCAGAAGACAACTTCCAAAAAAACTGTAGCTTTCTGGATGGAAACTGCTAAACCTGTCTTTGGTGAGTGATGCAGCTTTATTTAAAGTGCCTAGCACCCAGTTCTAAATGTCTGCTTTTCTTTTCTGTCCTACAGGGAACACAGTGAGTAACCTGATTTTCATTCTACCTCCCATCTATGGTGCGATTCAGACCTATAAAGATGGCCTTGAAAAACGGTATTTAGCTGCATATTTATGTCTTACAGGTATGTGTAAAACTTAATTTGCTCTTTCATTACAAAGAGAGCTCAGATGTGCAATGAACAATATCCAAATATTAATAAACCAAGTAGTAAAATCCAAATACTGTATGTGTGAAACGTAAACCTCCAATTTATTGTACTTGGTCATGTTGACCGAAAATTGGGATTCGTTGGAAGGGCATGAAATTAGAATTCACTAAATAACTTCATGAGGTTTTGAAGTGATCCTTCTCTGACTTTAAGTCCTGCTCAGTGCATCTCAGCTCACTGTGTCTTTTTATGATGATTTCAGAAGATGTCTTGTGTATCCTACTTCCAAACAGTTTCACACTATATTAGTATTTTTATGACACTTGTACAGAGAAGTAATACAAGAAATGGCCAAGATCCTGGAGGAACTGGAAAAGCATTCTTTCATGAGGTTTGAATTTGTTTTCAGTTCCTCTTTGGTATATATAACCTAACTGCCAATCGTATTTGGGAAATTTCGCAAGGATGGAAAAACTAAGGTGAACTTGAGGGCAGTCTTTTCTAGATTTTGCTATTTTAGAAAAGAAACAGAACCACCTTCCATTAAAATGTTCATTATGCAACTAGAAGTCACCTTCCTTTTGAGAAAAGAAGGTGTTTGAAGGTGGTTCAGATTTGGCAGTTGGATCTCTAGAAGTAGGTTTCACAGGATTTTTGTGTTTGGTAGAGCTCCTGCCTCTATGGAGCCTGTCTTTCCCCATCTTCTCAGTGGTAAAAGATTGAATTATTTTAAATGTTACTTTTAAGATTGGCATACTTATGTATTTAGATAAAAGTTGTCAAAAACCACATATCCATATGCTAAATGTGTTCTTGATGCCAGTTAGTATCACATACTAGGTACAACTTAATGGTTTTTCAGTTGCCTCAGATTGCTGATATGTGTGAAAGATAAGCAGCAACAATGTCCAGTTTTGGAAGTTTTCTGAACACTTTCCAACTAGCCATTTGTAGGCTTTTTATGGTTTCAAGTAATTATTCATTTTTGTCTCAATATAAAAGAGTTTGGCAGAAGGAATTCTTGAAGGGCAGAATTTCCTTTTAAAAAGACAGGGAAAGAAACAGCATGTAAGTTTTTGCTGAAGCTGACTCTTTGCATGTTCTTGAATCAAAGTATCCTACACTGCCATTCTTACTAAACTGAAGAAAAAAAAAAAGTAATAAAACTGTGTGTTTGAGAGTCAGTCTTCACCGTAACTGGTGGCCACCTCTGTTGCTGACACTTCATGATGGACAAGCTGTGCCACTATCTGACCAGAATGTCAGGCTGTCACACCAAGACTGCTCTGAGTGGGCTTTTCTCCTAGGCTGTTTAATGTTTACATTGCTTTTATTTAAAAAAAAAAAAAGAAAAAAAAAGTCTGTCTTTGGTCACAATAAATACCATGGACTTCAGTTTCGTGTTGTTCCTGGTGTTCATGAAGAGCAGCTCAGCCTGCATGTTTGACAGCAGGGCTGGAGGGCAGTCCTGAGCTCCAGCTGGGCTCTGCTCATCTGTGACTGGGATGCCTTTCACTCCTGTCTGAAGAGATAAATGTTCACAGGGCTTGATTTTAATCTCATATGTTGGAACCTACCACTAAAGGTCCCTCCCAAAAACTGTTTCTCCTCTGTTTTGGCTCTGCCTCAGTATTCGTAACACTGGACTGTTTTACAGCAGTTGAAAGATGTGAAGGAATATAGAAGGGTTTATAGTTGCTCAGTGAAAAACAGGAACAGGATGGTTTGGAATCACAAACCTCTTAAGATTTGTTCTATGACAGAATAAAAGGAGCAAATGAGAAGATAAACAGAATTTTAAATATAGTTGAAGCGTGCCAGGAACATTGGCATTCTTTCTGTTCGTGTGACTGAATGAGAAGCATGCTCAAGTGGAGATAGCATAAGCGTACAGAAACTTATTTTTGTAAGGAAGTACCAGAGAGAATTCTTTCCCTTACAGTAATTTTATGTATTAACAGATTTCACTCTGCTTCCTTGATTTGTAACAAACAAGTATAGACGTAATCGATAAAGGGATAGTGAATTGAACACAAACTGCTGGTTTCACTTCAGGCATCATGCTTCATTAAAGACCACATAGCAGAGCTTCTGCCTAGCTGGTGATGTCTAAGGGTTGTCTTGTTAAAGTAGAAATTCTTCAACGATTCTGCTGTGAAGATGAGGGTGGAGGAAGGGCACTTTAGTTAGGTTTTAACAACTTGGAATCATTGCTGAGATTTTACAAGCTGTTAAAAGACAGCTGTCAAAGCGGGCAGTAAAATTAAATCTGTTGGCATTTGAGAACATAACAAGTGTTGTTTCTAGACATTATTTTGATCCAAATCAGCTGTTTCTTTTGGATGCTTCCAGACTTTTAGCTGATTGTCAGCTCCTTTGTGTTTTACCCTGCCATGTTCAGTGCTTCACTTTATATAGCACAATTTCTGTGGTTGACATTTATTTCCTCTTTGAACCAAATGCATTTTGAATTAGGGAAGCAGTGTTCATTTCACATACGTGCTAAGATCCGAAGTTGGCAGGACAAGAAGGAGGATTTCTAAATAAGTGTTTAAATAAATTCCCTGTTCATACTGGTGCCGAGACTGAGTTTCACTTTTCAGCAAGTTCTTTGAGATACAGCACACTGTTCCCAGCTCCTTTCAGCTCAAAGAGCATGTTGTCAATGAACTCAATAGGAACTGGATACGATTTTTAAGCTTTAGAGAACTATTTAATCAGCCTGTAAACTATGAAGAATAATCTTAAGCAATTACTTTAGCATGTTGCGTGTCATGGAGTAAGTGTAACAAATCATCAGACTGTCACTGCCTCGAAGCATAAGGAGTTGGCTTTGGATGGTTCCTTATGATGCTGTAGTATTGTATCAGGTTCTACCATACGTCATTTCATCATGTGTCCTGGGAAGCTATGGTGCCCAAATGGTTCATATTCTAGAAGGATCTCAATTTAAAAAAAAAAAAAAAAAATAGAATGTAACTCTTTTGGACCTAAGAATCACAATGTTAGGGATGGGAAGGGACCTCAAAGGATCATCTAGTCCAATCTCCCTGCTGGAGCAGGACCACCTAGATCAGATCACACAAGAACGCGTCCAGGTGGATTTTGAACATCTCCAGAGAAGGAGACTCCACAACCTCTCTGGGCAGCCTGTTCCAGTGTTCTGTTCCCCTTACTGGGAAGAAGTTCTTCCTCATGTTTAAGCAGAACCTCCTATGTTCCAGCTTATACCCATTTCCCCTTGTCCTATCATTGGATGCCACTGAGGAGAGCCTGGCTCCATCCTTATGACAGTCACCCTTTCCATATTTATAAATATTAATGAGGTCCCCCCTCAGTCTCCTCTTCCCCAAGCCAAAGAGACCCAGCTCCCTCAGACTTTCCTCGTAAGGGAGATGCTCCACTCCCTTCATCATCTTTGTGGCCCTGCGCTGGACTCTCTCCAGCAGTTCCTTGTCCTTCTTGAACTGAGGGGCCCAGAACTGGACACAATATTCCAGATGTGGCCTCACCAGGGCAGAATAGAGGGGGAGGAGAACCTCTCTGACCTACTAACCACACCCCTTCTAATACACCCCAGGATGCCATTGGCCTTCTTGGCCACAAGGGCACATTGCTGAAGAGAAAGCAAAGTCAATGGAGTTATGTACTTTAGTAGATGTTTTGCTTGAAATTTGGAAGGATTGTTCTGTTTTGTATTTCTTTGGCCCGTTTAACAGGGCTCAGTCATTCATGTTGTGCCAAAGTGGAGGAAAAAAAGGATGGAAAAAGGTTTTTTTTTTTTCTTAACTTACTAAACTTCATTTCCAGCGAAACTCTGTATCTGTAAAAATAGTTGTTAGAAGCCCTTCAGTCAAAGTTTGTTCTTACCTAACAGCCATAGAGAAGGTGCTCAGGCCACGTCAACGTTAGTAAATCAAACGTGCTGGGGGACATTCTTCAGTGCTGAAGCCAAGTTGCGTGGAACAGCCCATGTCTGCTCATCTTAACCTCCAACACAAGGTGACCGCGTACAAATTCCCTGCTGGGCACAGGCCTGGGACTCTTCTGGCTGCTGGGCTGTGCCAGGGAGCTGCTCGGGGAACAGGCTAGGGGCTAGTTGGAACAGGCCAGGTTCACACCACAGGCTGTTCGAACAACTTGGTAGCGTAGACAGTTGTGTTACAGCGTGTGGGAACGGTCCCAGCCATGCCCGAGTTTGCTTGTGGAGCTGTACCCTTGGAGTAACCAAGATCTCTCCTGTCTCCCTGTGGAGGGAAACCATTACAAAGCAAAATAATTCAATAAAAATCATTCATTTAATTCTACTTTTTCACCTTCTTTCAATCTTTGGCTGTTTCTGATGCAGTATGATGTTGTTTATCTTTAGTTCAGTTCCACGATTGTAGGAAACCATAGGTGGAATTCAGCTCCAGATTCAAACACCTAAATGGGTGTTTCTACCTGTGCAGAGAGGGGTCTGTCTCCCACTGCAGTCAGTAAAGCCTAGAGAATCATTTGGCTCATCCTAAAATATCTCCTTATATTTGGCCAGCTGAAATACTCTTTATAATGCCATTCTCTTTAGTGGGAGCTTTGAACCCCTAGTTCACGTGTAGGTACCTAAATAAAGGTGTTTGCAGCTGAAGCATCCTTCCTTCGGAATGTTTTCATGCAGTCCCTGTAGAGATTAAATTCAAACTGCATCCATGAAATTCTAATAAACTGCTTTTTCTATAAAGGCTTTAGGTTTATGTTAAGAATTTTGAATGCTGATAGGTAGTCTTGAAATGATTTATCTCTGATTATGTGATATTTCTGATTCTTCCTAAAACTATTGAAAAAATCTTAGGGGATATTTGTGTCCCTCTAGGGTTAAAATCCTGAGAGTTTGTGGTTCGTATACGAAGCTGGATCTCATGTATGATGTTAGATTATTTCTAGCATGGATATTGCCTTGAAGTCTTTGACGGTGTTGAAGCACAGTGAAATAACTGAGTAAAAAGTCAAGTCTGCAGATACTTTGCTTTTACATCATCAGTAACACAACTAGTTTTTCAGCTGGCAGTAACCACACGTCGTATTTGCTGCAGGACAAAAAAGACCATGTTAGTCTGCACATAGCAGCTCACCTGGCTTTGCATTGCCAGTCTTTAAGTGCTGTTCTGATCTCAGAATAGTGTGACTTAATGTATATTCTGTGCTTAATACATAATTTATGTATCTACTCTGTAACTTCAGAGGCTTGTTGATTTAAAAATGCTGAGTGACTTGTATCTATGAACAGAGAGTTGCAGGAGTTAGATGGGAAATTGTATTGCTTCTAGTGATGTTAAAACTTCCCAACCGATACGCAGCTTTTAGTGAGTTAAGCTCCTGTGCAAAAGGAGACACCTGAAATGAAAACTGTAACCCCTGCTTACAAGATACGGAGCAAACTTATTGCTTGGTTTGTCAGTGGCTGTATGGGAAAGTTGCTTCTGTTGAAAATTGCTGTAATTGCAGTGATGATGTTCATTCATGTTTTGAAAAGTACAAAGCTGGTAGAACTTTGCATCTCATTGCAGTGACGGTTTTTGCAAAGTAAATCGTAGTAGTTGGTTAGTAAATCAAAGCTGGTAGAACTTTGCATCTCATTGCAGTGATGGTTTTTGCGAAGTAAATATTCCTTAGCAATGTCTTGATGCTGAAGTTATGTGATGAGAAGCGTATCTAAAGATAGCTGCGCTCCTGTCGAACTCCAAATAGAAGCTACACGTGAAGACATTTGAGTTTGAGTGTTAAACCGCTGTTTACTGGAGACAAATACACGTCAAGCCCCTTGTATGTTTACAAGTTATGCTTTAAATGTGACAGAAAGGTAGTGTGCTCTGGGCACAGCAGAGGAAATAAACCAACCATCTCTTCAAAAAGATGCTGTTGTGCATAGTCACCACAATAGTGTTTGAGGAAATGCTGTCGGTGCAGTCTTGAGAGCGAGAGTATCATCTGATGAGTAATCTACTCATATAGTTTCTATAGTCATGTAATATCCTGAGTTTCTTACGGAATGCACTTAAATATCAAACAGGCTTGACCATGCTCATGAGCTCTGTCAAGACTGCAGCAAGCAGCATTACTGCTATTTCCAGTAGAGATTTTTATTTTAGGAAGGACCATATGATGATTCCCCTTAAACTTTTCTTGTTTCAGACAACTATTTTATTGCTAAATGGCTAAAGCAATATGGCTAAAGCATCGTTCTCCCATGCATAGTAAAATTTCATAATCAAAGAAACTCAGTGTGATCATTACACAGAAGCAACAGGGGTTTTTATTATTTTTAGAAATCAAATGTAGTCGTGGGATTACTGACCTCTGAAACACTAATATCTCCAGCATTCTTGATTTTTGTAAAGACTGGAAGGGAAAAATAATCTAGAAATAGCTCCTAATCTTATAGGAGGAAGGGGGAGGAGTTCAGTAGCTGATTGTTGAGATTTATTAACCCCAGTAACTAACAATAATAAAAAAAAAAAAGCAAAAATACTGTTAATTTAAAATCCAGTTGAAATTTCTTATGCAATGATTTTGCCCATATTTGAAAATTATGTCTCTTACAAATTGTTAAGAGTTTGTGTCATGAAGATACTGAGATCACTGTGACAGCCAGATAATGGATGATACTGTTTTAATGATGATCTTAATTTTTTTTTTCTTCAGATTGAACAGCAGTTGTAATATATCCTGTATACATAGAAAGATGGCTATGAGAATTTCTTATTAAAATCTCAGTGAAGGTGAAAACCAGTCGTTGCTTATTGTTTGGAAAGATTTTTCAGAAGCAAAACGATTTAATCAGAACTTACAGAAATGCATATGGTTGTTTATATTCTGGTAGGCAGCCATGCTTTATTTTCCCAGAGAATTAATGACACTGAACTATTTGGCAATACATTTTTTTAAATGTAGCTGCATTACAGTTTTATGTTTTGGTAAAGTTACATGCTTAGGTATTTCGTTTCATTGAGTACGTGTATTAATCACAATTCTAGTCTAATAGCTTCTAAAGAAATATCTCCAGATGTGTCTATCCTCTGGCTTGGGAATCCTTTACAAAATGCACGGTTTGATAGATGAAGGTCTGTTTATGCATGAGTGAAATCTCACTGCTGTCTGTGGAAAACGTTATGGTCTTGCAGCAGAGCACAGCAGCACTACCCAGTGATCAAGGCTTGAGTGCAAATTATTTGGCTTTCTCCGAAACTAGAGGCTGAGGGAAAACATAATTTCTTGAAGGAAGACAAGACATCGCATTAATGTACTTGTTCTTGCAAAATAAAAATGAACTGGTGCTTAATGAGAGCGTGTAACTGATAATATTTCAAAGTAATGAATGATACATTAAGTGCTCTACCAACTTGACTGTAACTGGGAAATCTAACTTCCAAAAAACATCGTCCTTGTCTGAAAAACTGTAAAAGCTGTGTGTTAGCAAAGTATATACCTCACAAATGAATTTCAGAAGTAAATTCAGAGTTTAAAAATAAAATATTTCTAATAAATAAAAATCATTACATAGAAGGATGAGTTTCCAAGAAGGCAGCTCAGAAATGGTGATCTCGTTTGACAAAACCAATCCGTACTGCATGGGTTTGCTTTGTTTTCCCTGAATTTCTACTTCTGGGTTCTAGCAGGAATTCTTTTCTGTTTCTAGAGCTGACAAAAAGCTCCTTGTAAAATTTACCTCTTAAAACTGGACAATAAGTAGAAATATCACAGACTTGCAGCAGTAGTAGCAGTTGAATGATGTTTTGTGTTATAGAAGAGTTGAGACAGACAAATCTTAATGTACTTAAAATAAAAAAGAGGAGGAGGGAAAAAAGAAATAGAATGATAATGTTCCATTCATTCTGGATTCCCTCTACCTTTATCTTCATTGAGATTAAAATGATTCATCGGAGACAGTATTGAGAGGAGGGAAAGATGACACCCACTCCCCAAAAAACGTGAATTCAAGAATGTCACTGGTGACTAAAGCTATGGAAAATTGGGGTTTGTCCCTGAAATGGGATGTTGATGTTCTGGGTCTTTTTTCCCCAGTAAAGTTCGTGCATTTAAGCTAATGTACCTGAAAGTTTTACCTGTGGATTCTATGCTAACTGTAATTTTGGTTTGTTTTCAGCTGTGGGATTGGGATCTTGGTGCTTCCACATGACCTTGAAGTATGAAATGCAGGTGAGTATTGATAAGTAGCTGTGAAGCATTTTAGGTGTGTATCTCGCTGTACAGTCACATTGCCATTTCTTAGATGAAACTCGTGTAATGTGAGTTAATCTGCTTTGAGTATCATTGTACATGACTCCTGCTCTCAACAGGAGAGTGGTGCAGGTCTTGTTTTATTAGATATTTTTCACTGATGGGTATCCAGGAATATATACTTGCATCTAAGATAAGAGCTATAATCAAACACTTACATTGGTAGAAGACACTTTATCCTTTGGGAAATTATACTGTCTTTTTACTCGAGTTGTTATTTCAAAATCCCCGCAGGTTTGACTTAATAGCAAGCAGTATAGACTAGAGTTAGTTATTTATTATATCCTTTTTTAAATCAATGTTTTCTGTCATGTTTTCTATTTATCTAGATGGACCTATAGCATTAATACTGAAGTCAGAATCTTCTGAGTAACAATAGTTGAATCTTCCTCTCTCTTATTCTCAAGAAGGCGCCGTTCTGTAATAAATCACTGGGCATAAGGATTTGGTCCTGGTATTTCCCGTTTTCTAAAGGGACACAAGGAGTCTTGTCCTGTTCTCCTGTTTTAGGTCTGAGAGGATTAAAGAAATTAATCTTTTAATCAAAGTCATGGTGAAGTGGGATTCAGTTCAGAATTAAGAAACCTACATTTAAAAACGTGTGCTGGAAGTCTGTGCGCCCACCACAGTCAATGGAAATACAGTTAGGTGAGTGGAGTTCAGAGTTCAGCA